ATATATATATATATATATATATATATATATATATATATCTTCAGTACCTCTGCATACACCCATTTTGTGGTTGAGACCCAAATAGACCCAAATCTTACATCCAACTTAAATGTATTTTTAACATGTGTCTCTCAAAAGGTAGGCTACTCGAGAACTTAAATAGATGCATTTGCCTGTGGCATCTGTATAGACCTTGGAATCCTATTGTTGTCACACATATTTTATTTTGTTAAAAAAAAAGCCACACTGATTTGAATAGGAGTGAACAGATTTCTTTTGAGGGCCTCAAAAGTTCACCACCATTATTTGCAGACAGAAGCCTAAAGAAAAATGTGAGAATTATACAGAAAAATCATTAATCACCGCTTCTCTTTAAACAAGTCTTCTCTCCTATTGTCATTCGGCAGCACAACTGCTCGGACCTTCTGCTAGGAGGGGAGTGAAATCTTGAAGGGCACTTGAAGACATCCCCCCTCCCTCCTCTACCATCTTCTATTCACCAAGTCATGCCACAAGAAAACTTTTTTGGCGAGGGATGTCCCATGAAGAATCTCTTGAAAATGTTAGCGCGAGTGAGAATCTTCGCAGGACGAGAGATGGCAGCGTTTAAGGTAGAGTACTTTTTTTTATTTGCAGCACTTTTAGTGTTTTGAGTTTTATTGCTTTATGGCCTTCTCGCAGTTGGGTAGCAGAGGCACATTTGTCGTGTTGCGCCACGGATGGGTTTTATGGCTGCTTTGACTGTAAGGGTAGCTTTTGGGAACCGGTTGTCGTGTGTTTGTGATAACTTCTAGGTGTGTGCCATCACAACTAAAGTGGTAGAATGTTTTCCTTTTCGTCTTGGAGTAACTCATCTGTAGCATTGTTACATGGTGTATTTGTGGGTGTTGGTGCTGAAGTAGTATGGAGTGCAAAAAAGAAAAAAAAAAAGCGAGCGTCTGTTTGTCCCTTCGTGTGCGCGTGAACGCGCATGTGTGTCTTATATCAACACTGTGAATATGCATGAGTTGCAATGTGCCACATACACATGCAATATGTAAGACACCTAAGTCTCCCAACTGCGAATATGACATGCTGCCCTGATGACTGTTGTTAATGACACTTTATTTATTTTGCATATCACGTGTGTATGTCTTTCCCCACCCTAAAACGCCTTTGTATTCCATCAGAGAGCTTGGGTTGCACACAGGTGCAAAGTGGCCGGTTTCGAGAATAAATTATTCGATGCTCTGTTGGTCAGACAGGAATGAAAAGCACCGAAGAGAATGTCTCGAGAGCAACTATTTCCCTAAAACAAACGATTTGTAGCAAATTGCTTCAGTTACATGTTGTGTGCTTAGATGAGCACCAGTGGTCTGATACGGGCTCACCGCCATTTAACCCCTGCAAATCAATCTTTTGTTCGTATTGGAGAAAAGGCCAGTGGTTCTGGTTTACGGCTTTCGCCTCCCTCTGCGAACCTGTGTAGCATGAAGCGTGGCTAAAAAGACAAAAATATAGAAACTGATATTGAGGGAAGTTGAGGGATGACAGAAAAAAATCGATTCTTGCAGCAGGCAGAATGGGTTCAACTGGAGGACACGTTTTTCTGACCGATTAGGTCTGTTGCGAAGGCTCAGACTGACCCTTCTGAAACCCTTGACCCGACGCGGACAGGACAGCGCTACGTGTTACATGGTCAACAAAACCCTAGGGCGAGTTTGCCATAACAGCGCGGCCGGGGCACTGTAACCCCAAGGGCACCGTGCTATCTCTTCACTCAGACAGTCTAGTAAACTATCGGGGGCCCTTAAAACAACAGCAGCCGTGGCCTTGCAAAGACCCATCCTTAAACATCTCTCCCGTCTTTTGGTTTGAGCAGCTTGTGAAAGGCCCGAATAGTCACCATGCGTGTCAAGACCTGCAGTATGCACACCGCCAGATTACTTTACGATTTCCTTTCTATGTATTTCAGTAGCTGTAACACTGTGAGGGAGGCCAAGAGGGCCTTCCGCTCCAGAAATATGACGGCTATTTTGTGTGACAACGCCTCGCATTGTATCATGTAAGCCCCCTCCTTCTTGCTCTCCTTGTTCTGGTCTCTACTCCCTCCTTCAAGGTTTGTTGGAAAGCTCGCCGCTTGGCCTTGTAACGCTGATGTGATGGTGTGGTGCCTGTTTTAGCTCACGCCGCTAATTGCGAAACAAATAGCCCTCGCGCATTGCTGAATTATTATTGTGAAAAGCCACGGAGCGGAGGTCAGCACCGCATAGTCACAGAGATATATGGCCCGCGCGCGCCAGCTTTGTGGGCCTGGGCTGAGAGCCTGTGTGTGCGTGCGTGCGTGCGTGTGTTTTAAAGAGACACATATTAAGTAAGGCAAATCACCATTGTTAACTTTGCCAGCAAAACGCAACCCCTCCCTTTTCTGCTGCATAACTAATCTACTATTTCATCAATATTACTGTACTATTACCGATCTCCATCTACACATGGTCTACTACAACTATTTAGTAAATATGTTTAATCTCTTGTTTTGAAAAAATGCAGATTAGGCGTGCATTTATTTCTTTAACTCTCCGTATCTCTCCAACCGGGCTCCTCTTCATTCGATATTAATATTTAACTAACTGAATGGTTGCTGCGATACAGATTCCATTATTTCCTGAGATAGCGAAGAGTAATGAGTGAGCTCACTAAAGAGGAATATTCAGGTGCTTTATTTGTTACTCTTGGCTTCTGAAAACGTGACTTCTCATTTAATGTGCAACTAACAGCTCGCGCATGCTGCAGTTATTCCTACTGCACATTATAGTCATAATGATTAGGTTCGCTGATAGCACGTGAAAATATCTAATACATTATTATTTTGATTAATAAAATTATTGTTATTGCTAATAATAATAATTTTTTTTAAGACGCTACATTTTAAACACTATTTGGGTTAATATAAATCCTTTCCCTGATTGCAGTTTAATAACAAACGAACCTGACACATGGAAAACGCACGTTTACCTCAACAAGCAGCTGTCCTGCAAGTCTCCCCATCAAAGAATATAATTTTTTTAAAGGCACTACGCCTTCTGCCGCTTTTGACAGATTTACAGTCCCCAATAAAAGAGGGTATGCTCAGTGCCGTAAATCAATCTCCGCCGCTCTGTATAAACCTAGCCTTTAACCAAACGTTCTGTTTACTTAAGCGCCTGTAAAATCTGGGATATTCATTGACTGATTTTTTCTTTATAATCTGAGCTCTCTCTTTTCGTCTTCTTCTTCTTCTAATAATAATAATAATAATAATAATAATAATAATGTTGTTTATTATCAGTACTGTTGATCTTGCTGATGCACGTTTAGTAAATTACAACTATTAAAGAAATATGAAAGTAATTTATTACTTGCATTGTAAAAAGCTGGCGACACAGAATATATTAATAGACAGGTCTCGAATTTTAATATAATTCCTATCCCATTTTTGGACGTT